ACGATTAATCATTGCCCAGCACTAATATTAACATGTCAGCTTTCTGGCCTTTGGATTATGAACACTTTGCACTTTACATTACATTGTCTGTGGTGGTTAGAGATAGAACAACATATACGACTGTAGGAATTATTTTCATGTTAAGTTTAAGTTGAAACAATAAATAGATAATTAGACTACCACAATAAAAACATAACATCCATTAGTGATAATAATGATGATTATTATTATTAGCAGCAGTAGTATTAGTATTTATTTATTCATTTTAAAATATAAGTACTTTGAGGAGCTTTACATTTAAGTGCCCAATAACATTTTATTTCTGCATTTTGACACAATTATAAATAGATTATTAGATTACCTCTATAAAAATATAAAATCCATTATAAATAATAATAATAATAAATGAATATAAAAATAGAAGTATTTTGAGCTGTGTAATAATTTACATATTTTAAATAATGTATATATATTTTTTTATATTCTCTCTATAATAAATTATATTTATTAAACAAAAGGACAATGTAAAGTGTCACCCATTGTTATATCCGTAACTGAAGGTGGTAATAGTTAATATTGAGCAATACTGTTTTGCATTCCTTTACTAAAACACTAAGTACCCACATACTGGCCTGTGAATGGCTACAGCTTTGAAATTAATTTCATAAACATCCACAGAAATGCATGGATTATGTCCAAAACACAGTGACTGCTATTCTATATGGACCAATGTGCTGTTTCCCTTTGTATCAATCAACCAGGAATGCAATGACAAACTATGCCCAATTAAAAACGATAACCCCATAATAAAAAACAAACAAACAAAAAAACAATGGCAACCGAGAGCATCGTGTATGAATGCAACAAAACAAAATTGAAAGTAGAGCAGTCGCTCGAACGCGCGTTACATTGTAACGCTGATCAACAAAAGATCTTTATTGCGTCATAATCGCTGTTACATTGTTGCACATGGATGCGTCTGATTCTTTGATCGCGCCTCATATGTCCTCGTAACAGCGCTTATGATCGGCTCTCTCGATTGTTTAAAGGCCTCAAACTCCTCCAGACACCATTTTGAGCGTCTCTGTGTCTCAGCTCTATGGAATGTCCAAATGCATGACAAGGGAATGAACAAAGTCAGCTTGAAAAATCCCTCTCATTCCTGGATCCATCCCGAAAACGCCGTTCATCGATATTCTGAACTCGAATAGCTAAAGCGAACGCATTCGTTTTCTCTGAAATCACCATCAGGCAAATCAGAAAGAGCTTCACCATCACTCACTCACTCACACATACACACACACACACACACACACACACACACACACACACACACACACACTGGCAGGAGAAAGGCATTGCTGCTGTTTGATGGTGGTGAAGCTCTAATGGTGGTTGGATGGTGTTTCTGGACTTTAGAAAGGAAAACTACATGAAATGTGACTTACCAGTGCGAGATGGTTTAGATGGGTCACCCTGATCCAGTCTGTGAGGGTCAGTCTATTCTCCGCGAGTGTGAAGGTTTCCTCCTCCGGTTGATTTTCAAGCTGTATGGAAGCACATAAAGCGATGGGGGATGGGGGATGCCAGAAGAGAAGAGAGGAAGGGAGGGGGGATAGAGAGCGAGAGAGGGGGGCAGTAACATAGAAACACAAGGGGAGGACCTCTGTGTCTGACGCACGACTGAACGCACCAGGCCTTCGATGCACCATCCATTCGCCATATGCACGAGCAAAAATCAGACAATATGGCCAAATATGAATGCATGCGCGTGCATGCATGAAAATAAACCACACTTCATCTGCCATGATAACTCACATGCATACAGATCCACGCGTGTGATGGGACTGGTCATATAGTCTGTAAACAGCAAGAGCGAAAATCTGAAAAATGTGCCAGCTTTCATGTCCACCAGAGAACAAGCACTGTTTCTTCAGGATTGGTGCATTTTAAGCTGGAAATCCAGGGCTTGCATCACATTTAAAATTGTTCGAATAATATTATTCAAACAAACAGACAAATATTATTGATCACATTTTTGTTTTCGTAAAATAAATAAATAATTAAATAAATACATATACACAGTGCTGGCTGGATTACTTACAAATTATAGTCCATTACTGATTCTAGATTACAAGACAAAAAAAAAAAAGGAAATGTACTTAGTAAAGTAAATATATGTGCATTTACACGCAGTATAATATTTTCTCATTGACGCAAAAACCTTCACAAAGAAACTGATGAGACTTTGGTTCGCGCGCCCTCTGGTGTCTGTAATGCACCTCTACATTAGGGAGAGAAAGAGACGAAAGTTGTTTTTTTTTAAACACAGAAGACTCAAGCAATTGAAACGGGAAATATGTAAACTAGTGTCAAATTTCAACAAGTGGGGCAATGAATAAATCTCAGTATCGAACTGGATGAAGAGAAAGCAGTTCATTCCGCTGGGAAAGAGCAACAATACCATCTAGTGTTTCCAACATGTTAGATCACATTTCATCTGTATCAGCTTTCCTTTTGTGTTCTTGACTGATGCTTTGAAACTTACAAGATATATTACCTAATTTATCTTACAAAAAGGGAACATACACACACACACACACACACACACACACACACACACACACACACACACTGGCAGGAGAAAGGCATTGCTGCTGTTTGATGGTGGTGAAGCTCTAATGGTGGTTGGATGGTGTTTCTGGACTTTAGAAAGGAAAACTACATGAAATGTGACTTACCAGTGCGAGATGGTTTAGATGGGTCACCCTGATCCAGTCTGTGATCCCGGTTTAAAGCGATCTTCTGGGTTGCTGAGGGTCAGTCTATTCTCCGCGAGTGTGAAGGTTTCCTCCTCCGGTTGATTTTCAAGCTGTATGGAAGCACATAAAGCGATGGGGGATGGGGGATGCCAGAAGAGAAGAGAGGAAGGGAGGGGGGATAGAGAGCGAGAGAGGGGGGCAGTAACATAGAAACACAAGGGGAGGACCTCTGTGTCTGACGCACGACTGAACGCACCAGTCATTCAGTGCACCATCCATTCGCCGTAATATGCGCGAGCACAAATCATCCAATATGGCCAAATACGAATGCATGCGTCTGCATGAAAATAAACCACACTTCGTTCTATAACAACTCGCATGCATTTACATCCTTCGTTCTGATAACTCGCATGCATTTACATCCACGCATGTGCAGGGACTGGCCAAAACGAAAGTCAGAAAAATGCGCCAGTTTTCATGTCCACTAGAGAGAACAAGCACTGTTTCTTCATGTTTAAGCTGGAAATCAAGGGCTTTTATCACACTTAAAATTATTAAAATAATTAGTATTATTCAAACGAACGAACAAACAAATAAATACCATTGATCACACCTATTTTTTCTAAACAAACAAACAAACAAACAAACAAA